TCGTTCTCTCAAAAATTCGATTTCTATTTTCTGCACTCTTTGCTCCGTATCTCCGAAACGGCTGGACCTGCCTTTGCCAAAAACTAATCCTCTTTCCCTATCAATAGGAATCGAAGGTTTTTTGGACCATTCAAATCGGTTGATCCGTGCGCCTCTAAACGTGACTGGAAATTTGTATCCATACATACATACACACACACACACCACACACAACACATCCATTTTTTCTGAAGTATGCCCAAAACGTTCAGAAACCTTCAAAACGTCGAGAAATGTTAAAATTTTCAATTCCGATTTTCGGCCCATTACAATAACTTCCCTACGGGAAGTTAAAAAGCCTCTCGGTGAAGCTCGAAAAGGACTCGCATTGGTTAGTTTTTTAAGATGATGGGCCGAGTCGTTCTTTTAGAATTAGCAAAAAAAATTTTTTTTTTTTTTGGTTTGCATATATTTATCAATTTAAGACATTAACGTCTTGATTAACAAAAATAAATTGTAACAAAAAAAATATATATATATATATATAATATATTATATATATTTATCAATTAAAATATACATTATTTCTTAAGACAATATGCTGGTCTTCATGCCTTTAAGATATTAAAAGATATCTCATTGGAGATATCTCCAATGAGATATCTCATCTTTTTTGGAAATTTTTATTTAAGATCGTATGGCGGCCCTAAAACACTCCCTTGTGGATAGTTGATATTATGTAATTCTGATTCTAACTCTAGTCCTGAATAATCTTCGTGTTAAGTAATATTTCAATAGTAAAACTATCTTGTGTAGCAATTTTTAACTTCCGAAGGAGAAGTTTATGTTTTCATCAAAAAATCTGAATTGCTAATTTTATGTTTTCTCGACGTTTCAAGCCATTCTGAATCGAAGGAGACCAAATTTGGGAAAAGTATGTGTGTGTGTGTGGCGTGTATGTGAACAGATTTTTTTGCCGTAAATCGACGTTTTTTCGAAAACGGCTGGACCGATTTCAAAATTTAAAAGCCACTCGATGTATCTCGATGAGGACTATGTTTGTCAATTTTGTGCGACGATCGGGCCAAGCCGTTTCTTTGTAATTTGGAAAAAAAGTGTTAAGCCTCTCGTCCACATTTAAGTTCATACTACCGAACCGATTTTAAAAAATCAAAAACTGTTAGAAAGATATTAGTTGGGAATGATACTGATTAGTTTTAGGTGAAAATCTACCGAGCCGTTTTCTTGTACTTAACAGTTGAAAAAAAAAAAAAGGCGGACATTTTTATGCGAACTTTTTGTTGGCGATATATATCATGGTCTTATAGAACTTACTGAATTATGTACGGCCTTACGACAAGTAGTTTAATTTTAAAAATTCATCAATTTGATAAAAATGAGTAGTTTTTTTGACGTTTGTTAAAAATAAAAATAGATGATTTAGTTGGTTTAACGATAGTGTACTTGGTCTTGGACATAGTAAACCATTAAAGTTTTACGGAAACTGGTTCAATTATAATTATTGATTAATATAAAATTATTGAGTTTTGAAAATTTGCTTTTAGAAAATACTCCGAGTTAACGTTCTAAATCCACTCGGAATTCTTATATACACTCATAAATTAATTTATTTTTTATTGATTAAGTCGATTATTTACACATATCGGAAGTTCATGTAACTTGCCTCAAGGCTAAATACCAAACCAACTAGATTTGAACAATAGTTTTTTTTTTTATTGATAAATATATTGCTGAACAATATTCCTTTTCTCTAGTGCCTTTGGATACTATTTACTATTCTATGACATTGTGTTTACGTTGAGTGCTGGGTAGTAAAAAATGAAAAAAAAAATTGTGACCGTTTTCGCAAAAAAACTATTAACCGATTTCGAAAATGGAAAATCGCTCAAAAATATACATTTGAATTGTACTCATTATTTTTGGCTAAGATCATTTGCCAAGTTTTTCTTTCTTTGATATTAGATTTTTTTTGCCGTTTATCTTGAAATTTAACATGGCGTTAAAGTTAATGCACTAAACAAGCATACTAATAATATTAGAAGCTTACGCAAATTGGATGAAATAAAAAATCGTTACAATTTGGAATAATGGCGCCATAAAATTTAACTCAACCCCTCATCATCAATATATTAATACCTAAAAACTACAAATGTTAAAATAACGGAGCACAGAAGAAACGTCGTTACATTGTTGATGGTTACGTATTAAAACGTTTATACTATGTTTAGGTGTAACCTTTGATCAACTTCAACGTAAATGCAACGTTTTGTTCATTACTGGGCAGCGATATTTCAATATATAGCTATAATCAATATATCTTATTAATTATGCCGAATATTTAAGTTGCCTTGATATAAAATACTACTCACCTAACTTTCTAATGATCCAATTATAACTTCTATTATTATAACTATATGAAATAGAATTACTATACTCACCTATTTTATTTCATTTAGCTACATGAATTATACATCAGCGCTATGTCAACTAATATCATCGAGGAAACCAATTTCAAAGAAACCATGCAGCTGCTACAGTTCTTATCACGTGCAGAGTTTACAGAAAAAATTAACAACATCCACATATTTTGGAGGAGCAAAGACTGAAAATTAAAAATTCTAGGGCTTTAAAAGTATTAAGTAATATTTATAATCGATTGCACGAGTTGAACCAAACAAATGTAATCGAGAATGCCATTGAGGAAATTAGTATTGATTTAAGTAACATGAACAGGAACCAAATGAGAGAGGTGAGTATTTTAATACTTTATTATTAATTTACTGTAGGGTAAGTTATAGTAATCGCAAAAATATTAATAGGATTATTTTTGAATATTTTTACGTTTCGAAACTTTCGGAACATTTTGGATTACCTTAGCAAAAATGGTATTAGAATGGTATAGAATTAGTAAAAAATGCAAAAATTTTCTTGACTGTTTTTGGGAAACAAATTTAACTGCTTTTGAAAATTTGCATTGTAGATTGTCTGATAATGTCATGTAAGTATAGATACAAATTTTCTTGACGTTTTCTGGAGCACAGTTCAATCTATTTAACGTTCGATTCCTATTGATAGGGAGACGTGATCAGTTTTTTTGGCAAAGATAGGTTTAATTGCTTCGGAGATACGGTACAAAAGTACAGAAAATGGTACTTCATTTTCTTTGCATTTTTGCAAGAACGGAGCATCTGATTAGATGTGATTCAAAACATTCTTTCTTTCGTAATGCCGGCGAAACGCGCTGATTAGTTCTTGAAAAGGGGGGTTGACCTGTTTGGGAGATACAAAGCAAAAAGTTCTAAAAATGACAGTTTTTGAGAAAAACAGAGCTATTTTTGCTTTTGTTAGCGGAATGATCACATTTTTGGGCAAAGGCTGGTTCAGTGACTTTGGATATGCAGAAAAAAGGCAGAAATTGACATTTGTTAATCAAATATTATTTTACAAATCATTATTATTGATTCATATACAAATAAAATTAGTTGTAAATAGATAGAAAGATATACAGGTAAACAGGTAAACCAGTAAAAAGGTAAAAAGGCAGATAATAAGAAAATATACAAAAAAGCACGGTGGCAACAATAACTGCGTCTGAAAATCTTGAAAACTGTGTGAAAGAGTTCTTGATTATAGCAGGATATCTCAAGATGTTGTAATTTTGTCTAAAAATGTTGTAAATTATCTGAGCACAGTTCTGGTGGACAGATAGGCAGCTAGACAGTTAGACCGGTAATCAGGTAATAATGTCAAAAAAAAGACTGTAGACTGATAGACTGATAAAGAGGTCAGCTTGTAAACAAGTAAATAGATAGGTAGGTAAACAGGTAGACAGGTAAATAGGTGAACAGGAAGTCAAATAAACAGTTAGACAGGAATAAATGTAGAGAAATAGTCAGGTGGACAGGCAGACCAGTAGGCAGGTAGATCATATAAATATCAGATACATATTATTGAATAAATCAATTATTCACACTTACCGGGAAGTTTATGTAAATTTCCACATGGCAGAATGCCTCTTTTTTGCATAGATTTCTTGCTGGGTGTAAATGCATTTAAAGAGATTATCTTCTATGAGATAACTCTTTTTTTTATCAAAATGCCATTTACAACTAGTTAATATTTACTAAAATGAGATTTATAATTAATAATTTATTTCCAGATGCTAATGGAGTGTTCATCCAACCAAACAAAGAAAAACAAACTCTCAATACGATGCTGTCAAAAGGTCCATAATCGATTTCACAATAGAATGTTTCTCGAACTATCTACATCCACCAACCACATCTCTACCTCTGTATGAATTGTTCATTTTCACAGATCATGAATCTGTTAAACAACACATAGTTGGCAGTCCTAGGGCTACTTTGCACACCGCTTTGAATAGTCCTAGTTGCTATCTCCAGGTAATTGTTGGACGGATATTTTGTTAAAGTGAAACTTCTAATGCTATTTTTATTCTAGCGCGGAATATAAAGAAACAGAACGAGTATGTCTTAAAATTTTGCAAATTGTCTGAAAATATTATAAACTATCTGAAAATGTTGTAGATTGTCTGAAACTGTTGTAGATTGTCTAAAAATTTTTGTAGATTGTCTAAAACTGTTGTAAATCCAGGATGCCTGGAGATGTATGAAGAAAAGGTGGTAGATTGTCTAAAAATGTTGTGAATCGTCTGAAAAAGTTCTTAATTATAACAGGATGCCTGGAGATGTATGAAGAATATGTGGTAGATTGTCTAAAAATGCTGTAAATCTTCTGAAAGTGTTCTTAATTATAGCACGATGTCTGGAGATGTATGAGAAAAATGTGGTAGATTGTCTTAAAATATTGTTAATTGTCTGAAAAAGTTTTTAATTATAACAGGATGTCTGGAGATATAATATGAAGAAAATGTGGTAGATTGTCTAAACATGTTGTAAATTATCTAAAAATGTTTTTAATTATAACAGCACATCTGGAGATATATGAAGAAAATGTGGTAGATTGCCTAAGAATGTTGTAAATTGTCTGAAAAGTACTTAATTATAAAAGGATGCCTGGAGATATATGAAGAAAATGTGGTAGATTGTCTAAAAATGTTGTAAATCTTCTGACAGGGTTCTTAATTATAGCACAATGTCTGGAGATATATAAAGAAAATGTGGCAGATTGTCTAAAAATATTGTAAATCGTCTGAAAAAGTTCTTAATTATAACAGGATGTCTGGAGATATATGAAGAAAATTTGGTAGATTGTCTAAAAATGTTGTAAATTGTCTGAAAAAGTTCTTAATTATAATAGGATGCCTGGAGATATATGAAGAATACATGGTAGATTGTTCAAAAATGTTGTAAATTGTCTGAAAAAGTTCTTAATTATAACAGGATGTCTGGAGATATATGTAGAAAATGTGGTATATTGTCTAAAAATGTTGTAAGTTGTCTAAAAAAGTTTTTAATTATAACAGCACATCTGGAGATATATGAAGAAAATGTGGTAGATTGTCTAAAAATGTTGTAAATCGTCTGAAAAAGCTCTTAATTATAATAGGATGCCTGGAGATATATGAAGAATATGTGGTAGATTGTCTAAAAATGTTGTAAATCTTCTGACACGGTTTTTAATTATAGCATGATGTCTGGAAATGTATGAAGAAAATATGGTAGATTGTCCAAGAATATTGTAAATTGTCTGAAAATGTTGTAAACTATTTGAGAATGTTAATCATCATCTGAAAATTATGAAAACTGTGTGAAAGAGTTCTTGAGTCAACAGGATGTCTGAAGATGGTGTAATTTCGTCTGAAAATGTAGCAGATTCTTTAAAAATATTATAAATTGTCAGAAAAAGTTCTCGATTAAAGCAGAGTGTCCAATATTGCTGAGTATTTTTGTCTGAAAATCTGGTGAATTGTCTGAAAGAGTCATTGGTTATAACAAGATGTGTGAAAATATTGTAAACTGCCTGAGAATGTTGTAGATTATCTTGAGAATGTTTAAGATTGCCTGATTTTGTTCACTATCTGAAAGAGTTCTTAATTGAAGCAGGATATCTGAAGATGCTGTAATTTTGTCTGAAAATATGGCAGATTGTCTAAAAATGTTGCAAATTGTCTGAAAAAAATCTTGCAGGATGTCATACGATGTTGCTGAGTAATTTTGTCCGAAAATTTGGCATATTGTCTGAAACAGTTCTTGATTGTAACGAGATTTTGTCTGAATTGTCTGAAAGAGTCATTGGCTATAACAAGATGTCTGTGAAATACTGTTAAGTGTCTCAGAATGTTGTTGATTATCTTAAGAAGGCTGATGATTATCTGAAAATTTTGTATACTGTCTGAAAGAGTTCTTAATTGAAGCAGGATGTCTGAAGATGTTGCAATTTTGGCTGAAAATGTGGTAGATAATCTAAAAATGTTGTAAATTGTCTGAAAGAATTCTTGATTATAGCAGGATGACCGAAAATGCTGAGTAAAATTCTTTGAAAATTTGGCATATTGTCTACAAGCATCTTTGATCATATCAAGGTATTGAAGATGGTTTCAACAAGTTTAAAATTGTTTTATAGAGACAATTCTCTCTGTTTTGATTATATCAAGATGTTGTCTGAATTGTCTCAAAGAATTCTTGATTATATATGCAATATGTCTGAAAGAGTTCTCGATTATGAAAAGATGTTGCCTGAAGTGTCTGAAAGAGTTTCATATTATAAACCATATCCTGAAAATTGTTTCAAAATGTTGTGGATGGTCTGAAAATTATGTTAATTTGTTTTGAAAGAGTTCTTGATTATAACCATATATCTGATTTTTTTCATTTAAAAATGTAGACTGTCTGAAAATGGTGTCAATTGTCTGTAAGAGCTTTTGATTTTAACAAGATGTTGTCTGAATTATCTGAAAGGGTTCTTGAAAATATGGTAGATTGTCTGATAATATTGTGGACTAATTTTGTCTGAAAATGTTTTAGAGTGTCTGAAAATGTTGTAAACTGTTTGAAAATGTTATAGATCGCCTGAAAATTATAAAAATTGTCTGAAAATATTGTAGAGTGTCTGAAAATGTTGTAAATTGTCTGAGAAAGTTGTAAACCATCTTATAAACTATCTGAGTATGCTGTAAACTGTCTGATTATATCATAGATTATCTCAGAATGTTGTGAATTGCCTTAATTTTTTGTAATTTGTCTAAAAATGTTGTAAATTATATGAGAGTGTTGTAAACCATCTGAGAATTCTGTAAACTCTCTAAAAATGTTGTAAATTGCAAGAGAATGTTGTAAACCATCTGAGAATGAAGTAAACTGTCTGATAATGTCGCAGATTGTCTGAGAATGTTATGGACTATTGGAAATCTTCTAAACTGTCTGAGAATGTTGTAGGTTTTCTGAAAAATTTGTAAACTGTGTGAAAATGTTGCAAATTGTCTGAGAAAGCTGTAAACCATCTGAGAATGCTGTAAACAGTCTGATAATATTGTAGATTGTCTAAAAAATTTGGAAACTATCTGAAAATATTATAAACTGTAAGAAAACGGTCTGAAAAAGCTGTAAAATGTCTGAGAATATTGTGGATTATTTGAAAATTTTCTAAATTGCCTGAGAATGTTATATATTGTCCAAAAATTCTGTAAACTATCCAAGAATGTTGTACATTGTCTGAAAACTGTATAAACTGAAAATGTTGTAAATTGCAAGAGAATGTTGTAAACCATCTGAGAATGTTGTAAACTTTCTGATAATGTTGCAAATTGTCTGAGAATGTTACGGACTGTTGGAAATCTTCTAAACTGTCTGAGAATGTTGTAGGTTTTCTGTAAAATTTGTAAACTGTTTGAAAATGTTGTAAATTGTAAGAGAATGTTGTGAATCGTCTGAAAATGCTGTAAACTGTCTGATAATGTTATAGATTGTTGATAATATTGTGGATTGTTTGAAAATTTTGTAAACTGCCTGAGAATGTTGTAGATTGTTCGAAAACTTTTTAAACTGTCAGAAAATGTTATAAATTGTAAGAGACTGTGGTAATTGAGAAAGCTGTAAACTGTTCGATAACGCCGTAGATTGTCTGAGAATGTTATGGATTATTTGAAAATCTGGTAAACTGTCTGAGATTGTTATAGATAGTCTGAAAACTTTGTAAACTATCTGGAAATGTTATAAATTGTAAGAGAATGTCGTAAACTGTCTGATAATGACGTAGATTGTTTGAGAATGTTATGATTGTTTGAAAATTTTGTAAACTGTCTAAGAATATTATAGATTGTATAAAAACTTTGTAAATTGCCTGAAAATATTGTAAATTGTCTGTAAATGTTATAAACTGTCTGAGAATGCTGTAAACTGTCTGATAATGTTATAGATTAATGATATAGATTGTCTGAGAATGTTATGGATTGTTTGAAAAATTTGTAAACTGTCTAAGAATGTTTCGGATTGTCTGAAAATTTTGTAAACTTTCTGCAAATATTGTAAATTGTCTGAGAATGTTATAAACCTTCTGAAAATGCTGTAATATGTCTGATAATGTCATAGATTGTCTGAGAATGTTATGGGTTGTTTGAAAATCTTGTAAACTGTCTAAGAATGTTTCAGATTGTCTGAAAATTTTGTAAACTCTCTGAAAATATTGTAAATTGTCTGAGAATGTTATAAACCTTCTGAAAATGCTGTAATATGTCTGATAATGTCATAGATTGTCTGAGAATGTTATGGGTTGTTTGAAAATCTTGTAAACTATCTAAGAATGTTTCAGATTGTCTGATCATTTTGTAAACTCTCTGAAAAAATTGTAAATTGTCTGAGAATGTTATAAACCTTCTGAAAATGCTGTAATATGTCTGATAATGTCATAGATTGTCTGGGAATGTTATGGGTTGTTTGAAAATCTTGTAAACTATCTAAGAATGTTTCAGATTGTCTGATCATTTTGTAAACTCTCTGAAAATATTGTAAATTGTCTGAGAATGTTATAAACCTTCTGAAAATGCTGTAATATGTCTGATATTGTCATAGATTGTCTGAGAATGTTATGGGTTGTTTGAAAATCTTGTAAACTGTCTAAGAATGTTGTAGATTGTCTGAAAACTTTGTAAACTGTTTGATAATGTCGTAGATAGTCTTAGAATGTTGTAGATTTTCTGAAACTTTTTGTGAACTGTGTGAAAATGTTGCAAATTGTCTGAGAATATTGTAAACTGTCAGAGTTCTGTAAACAGTCTGAAAATTGTTGTAAATTATCTGATTGAGTAAATTGCAGACTGAATGGGAATATTGTGAACTGAAAATGTTGTAGATTGTTTATTTTGATTACAGCATTACGAAGTTTCACTTCATGGCGAAGTGAACTATCAAATTATTTTACTTTAAAGTGATTTTGATGGTGAATTTTTTATTTCAGTGCTCGTGTTGCGCTACTGATGTGAAAGATGAAATTATATCGACTATGCCTGATATTTGTATCGGTTATAAATTGCATTTGGAGTGTGGGAGGTAATAAAAGAATAATTGAGTTAAGCTATTTGTATAATTGTAATGGTATATTAGTAATTTAATATTTACAGTATTAACAATGATATCATTACTTGAGTATAATAATTATTAAAAGATAATAAAAAAGTAATTTTATTTTTGTTCAGACTTTTTCCTGGTATACATGGTGTAAGTTTTAATTTCTAATATAAGATTTATTTTATAGGCTTATAAATTTATATGATTGGCTTCATGCATTCCGGCATGTAACATCAACTGTTGCAAATGGGACATCTGATGCAGAAGCTGAGGAAGACACCATTGAAATTGAACCAGAAATACAGTAATTCTTTTTTAAACAACTATATATTAATTTAAAAATATGAACAAATAGCACTTTTTTTTGTTTTAATTTATTAAATGATAATAATTTTACAAACGTTTCGAGGCTAGGTTTGTCTCATCATCATTGTATTATAATTTAAAATCTAAAATATGAAAATCTAAAATAGCGCTATGTGTTAACAATTCCAACTTGTTCCTCTTACTGAATGCAATTATGAATGAAATTATAATACACTGATGATGAGACAAACCTATTATTTAATTAATTAGTGCAAAAAAAGAGTGCTGTTTCTTCATATTTCTAAATTAATATATATATATATATATATATATATATATATATATATATATATATAGAATTTGATACATCACAATATATCTCAATGATATAGTATCAATGATATTTCATTTATTCTATTTGTTTATTTATTTTTCTCTTTATTTAACAGAGCCAGATTTACAAGTATGGTTTCCGAATTGCAGCATCTCGGATTCATAAAATCTTCAAATAAAAAAAGGGATCACGTAACAAGATTGACTTGGTGAACAAAAAGTCATTTGCATTTGGTAATTGTTAATTTGTTTGTTACATGTTGAATAATGCTTTTTTTTAACCATTTATATTTATGTAATAAAATACTGCGATATTCAGTTATTGTGTTTAAAATCAACTAGAAAAGTAGTAAATCTACAAAGGAATTCAGGAATTCATTTATTGCATCGAGTCAACACTCTTTAATGTATATAATCAATTTTCTTATCTTTTTTTAGATGCGTTTTTAGATGATTTTTAAAAATTACTTGCATTCAACCATCAATTTTTACCTTCCTACCACACTTCCCAATTTCATTAATCACTTTTAAACTGATCGATAACTGGTCCATTATCGTCTTTTTGCGGACGTTTTTTTTATTGAATTTTGATCCAGAAAGTTAATGAAAAAGCTTAATTTTTTTTCAATTATTAACTTCCCGAAGGAGAAGTTTATGTTTTCATCAAAAAATCCGATTCGCTAATTTTATGTTTTCTCGACGTTTCAAGCCATTCTGAATCGAATGAGACCAAATTTGGAAAAAGTATGTGTGTGTGTGTGTGTGTGTGTGTGTATGTGTGTGTGTGCGTGTGCACGAACAGATTTTTTGCCGTAAATCGACGTTTTCTCTCGAAAACGGCTGGACCGATTTCAGAAATTTAAAAGCCATTCGATGTATCTCGACGAGGACTATTGTTTGTCAGTTTTGTGCGACGATCGGCCAAGCCGTTTCTTTATAAATAGCAGAAAAGTGAAAAATTTTTCGTCTACGTTTTAGCCCGCAATTCTGAATCGATTTTGAAAATTCAAAAACCGTTCGAAAGATATTGGTTGGGAATCGTGCTGATTAGTTTTTGGTAGAGATCGGCCGGGCGGTTTTCTTGTAATAAAGTTTTTAAAAAAAAAATTTCGACGATTTTTATGATTATTTTTTTGACGATAGATACCATAGTCTTCTAGATCATACTAAAATATTACGGCCCTACGACAACTGGTTCGGCTTTAAAAATTCGTCAAAGTTTGCAAAAATCAGTATGGTCTTTTTGGCATTTGTCAAAATTAGACTTTTGATCGACGTTTTCTCAAAAACGCCTGAACCGATTTTAGAAATTTAAAAGCCATTTGATGTATTTCGGTGAGGACTATCGTTTGTCAGTTTTGTGCAACGATCTGACAAGCCGTTTCTTTGTAATTCGAAAAAACTTTTCGTACATATTTAAGCTCATCCTACCGAACCGATTTTAAAAAATCAAAAACTGTTCGAAAGATATTAGTTGGGAATGATGCTGATTAATTTTATGTGAAAATCTACCGAGCCGTTTTCTTGTAATTAACTGTTGAAAAAAAGTGTTAAATTTTCGTCGACATTTAAGCTCATCCTACCGAACCGATTTTAAAAATCAAAAACTGTTCGAAAGATATTAGTTGGGAATGATGCTGATTAATTTTAGGTGAAAATCTACCGAGCCGTTTTCTTGTAATTAACTGTTGAAAAAAAGTGTTAAATTTTCGTCGACATTTAAGCTCATCCGACCGAACCGATTTTAAAATATCAAAAACTGTTCGAAAGATATTAGTTGGGAATGATACTGATTAATTTTAAGTGAAAATCTACCGAGCCGTTTTCTTGTAATTAACTGTTGAAAAAAAGTGTTAAATTTTCGTCGACATTTAAGCTCATCCTACCGAACCGATTTTGAAAAATCAAAAACTGTTCGAAAGATATTAGTTGGGAATGATGCTGATTAATTTTAGGTGAAAATCTACCGAGCCGTTTTCTTGTAATTAACTGTTGAAAAAAAGTGTTAAATTTTCGTCGACATTTAAGCTCATCCTACTGAACCGATTTTAAAATATCAAAAACTGTTCGCAAGATATTAGTTGGGAATGATGCTGATTAATTTTAGGTGAAAATCTACCGAGCCGTTTTCTTGTAATTAACTGTTGAAAAAAAGTGTTAAATTTTCGTCGACATTTAAGCTCATCCTACTGAACCGATTTTAAAATATCAAAAACTGTTCGAAAGATATTAGTTGGGAATGATGCTGATTAATTTTAGGTGAAAATCTACCGAGCCGTTTTCTTGTAATTAACTGTTGAAAAAAAGTGTTAAATTTTCGTCGACATTTAAGCTCATCCTACTGAACCGATTTTAAAATATCAAAAAACTGTTCGAAAGATATTAGTTGGGAATGATGCTGATTAATTTTAGGTGAAAATCTACCGAGCCGTTTTCTTGTAATTAACTGTTGAAAAAAAGTGTTAAATTTTCGTCGACATTTAAGCTCATCCTACCGAACCGATTTTGAAAAATCAAAAACTGTTCGAAAGATATTAGTTGGGAATGATGCTGATTAATTTTAGGTGAAAATCTACCGAGCCGTTTTTTGTAATTAACTGTTGAAAAAAAGTGTTAAATTTTTGTCGACATTTAAGCTCATCCTACCGAACCGATTTTAAAATATCAAAAACTGTTCGAAAGATATTAGTTGGGAATGATGCTGATTAATTTTAGGTGAAAATCTACCGAGCCGTTTTCTTGTAATTAACTGTTGAAAAAAAGTGTTAAATTTTCGTCGACATTTAAGCTCATCCTACCGAACCGATTTTGAAAAATCAAAAACTGTTCGAAAGATATTAGTTGGGAATGATGCTGATTAATTTTAGGTGAAAATCTACCGAGCCGTTTTTTTGTAATTAACTGTTGAAAAAAAGTGTTAAATTTTTGTCGACATTTAAGCTCATCCTACCGAACCGATTTTAAAATATCAAAAACTGTTCGAAAGATATTAGTTGGGAATGATGCTGATTAATTTTAGGTGAAAATCTACCGAGCCGTTTTCTTGTAATTAACTGTTGAAAAAAAGTGTTAAATTTTCGTCGACATTTAAGCTCATCCTACCGAACCGATTTTGAAAAATCAAAAACTGTTCGAAAGATATTAGTTGGGAATGATGCTGATTAATTTTAGGTGAAAATCTACCGAGCCGTTTTCTTGTAATTAACTGTTGAAAAAAAGTGTTAAATTTTCGTCGACATTTAAGCTCATCCTACCGAACCGATTTTAAAATATCAAAAACTGTTCGAAAGATATTAGTTGGGAATGATGCTGATTAATTTTAGGTGAAAATCTACCGAGCCGTTTTCTTGTAATTAACTGTTAAAAAAAAAATTAAGCCGTTTTTCATGGAACTTTTTTTGGCGATATACATCATGGTCTTATAGAACTTACTGTAATATTACGGCCTTACAACAAGTAGTTTAATTTTAAAAATTCGTCAAAGTTTGCTAAAATTATTATCGTTTTTTTTTAAAGTAGGATTAATGAAGTATATTATTTACACATTTTTTTTTTATTAAGTCGATTATTTACACATTTCGGGAAGTTCATGTAACTTGCCTCAAGGCTAAATACCAAACCAACTAGTTTTATTAACTGTCCGTAGGGTAAGTTTGCGATTTGAGTTTTGGGTAAGTTCCGATTTGAATGATTTGAAAAACTTTCTGCTTGTGTTGACGAAACGATTGCTTTTGAAGAAAGATTTTTTTCTTTAATTTTCAAAACATTTAAAATATCTCGAATATTTCATTATGGTACGGGAAGGTCCAGCAATTTGCTTTAAGGCACGATGCCATACACCACTAGTTTTATCTACTCTAACACTTGAATTTTTTTGAAACAGTTTTAATAGTTTTATGCATTGTTATATTTATTTTAGTTGCAACAGATTTTTTATACAACTTTTCTAATAGCTTACATGTGGTTAGGGTAAAAAGGACCAACTGAACATTTTCACTGACAAAGGTGAAAAAAATAAGATAATAGTAAATAAAACTAGTGGTGCATGGCATCATGCCTTTACACACATTGCTGATGCTTTCACTACCGTAATGATATTCGAGAATTTTTAAATGTTTTCAAATAGATTTAATTTCGTAAATTCTGTAACTTTTGTTATTCGTATTTTATAGACAAAATATAAGAGCTTATAAATTGGACGATGACTTTTCTATGTTTACATGAAAACTAAATAAACAAAACTTAATCAAGCGGAGTTAGAATTAAACTTATTTACTAAACTAAACTAAAACGATTCAGTTTGGTTCATTAACATTGATCTCCTTGGCTATTGACATGTAATTAGTCTGGACTTTTATATGCGCCTCTCGGCCCTTAAAACTGACTTTGCCAATCGCATATATGAGTTTTCGTAATACTAATAATAATTTTTGGTAATATTGAATAATCAGATACTAGTTGAATGTTAAATAAAGTCACATTTTTGTAACATGCTTCTATAATATACATACAAAATTTGATATAAAATACAAATATACAACACAGAGCAGAAATAAAATGTATGCTTGATTATAAATCTATTTATTTCGTATTAACATCTTTATATTAGGTGTTCAGGAATTGGTTGAGTGATAGAATAAAATATAACAAATGTAAAAGTCACATTATATTCTACCATTCATAACAGCAACAACCACGAGAAGGTTTCTGAACTTGTGTTGCCAAAAAACTTACAACGGCATTTATTTGTGCAGTGTACAGATATTGTTAATACAATATCTTTTTATACTGTCTTCAAATATGTGAGATGAGATCTCATGATAACCATTTATCTCAAATAGAGAATTTTGGTTTTCTTATTATGACAGTTTTTTATTTAATATCCGAACTTTGAATAAGTATTATTCTTTTTGTGCAGTGCACAAAGTGAACAATAATATTTAAAATCAGGACTTTCTACAGCTCCTGGCGATAAAAATTGTGAAGCTAGGCTTTTATCACAATGAAAGTGTATCCATCGACTACACATTCCACAGCTGATCCAGGAATCACTAGAAGACTTTAAATTTATATTACATTTATTTTTGCATTTCATAAGTGATAATTCAGAATTTAGTGTATGTTTATACCATGAATTGCATTTTATAATAATTAAATAAATAATATGAGGGGCGATCTGTTGGCGAGTCGCCTGTAGAATTACAAATTGGACAAATATTGTCAACTGGTGAGATATTTTCCAAAAACTCTGTCATTAATTGTTTTCTATATTCACTAGGTTCGATTTTATAGTTTAATTCAGTGTTATTTAACAAACATAATGCATTTTTTATTGTAAAAAGTCCACAACTATGACCATCGGTCTGCTGAGGAGAAATTATTTTATGAAAATTCCATTGGAATCTTCTGTTTCAGTTAAACAGCTTTTACGAAATTGACTAAAAATAAAATAATCTGTTGCAGCATCAATGCAAGAATTAATAACACTAAATTGTTTTTTATCTGTATCTATTAAAACTAAGAGCCAATGGTTATTAAAATTATGTGGCGCTAGATACTTTAAACCTGATGATAATTTTATAACAAAGTTATCATTATTATAATTTATAATATGATCATATTCATGAACACTTAAAATGTTGAATTTTTTGCTGTCATATTCAATTGATGCTAAGTAAGAGTGGATGATTATGTCATCTAACCACTCATTTCCATATAAAATAAAAAAATTATTCAATATGATGGCATATTTACCAAAAAATCCTATAGTATACAATATATCCCTATTATACATGAAGGGTTTTATATAGAAATGAAAATCTATAGCTACATTATTGTTAGGATACAAACCTATTTTTAGATCTGTGCTAGAGTCAGCAGAGTTATTTGAGTCTGGGCATTTATGCAAAGGAATTGCATTTTTTCTACAGAGGTAAAAATTGACCGGAATATTAGATTTTTTGTTCCATGTTTCCTTTGCATCTCTAATATCTACAGTCGTAGTATTATGGTCCTCATTTAATTTTTCAGTTACTTTATTTACTGTGTTGCTTTTTTTCATATTTTTAATATTGTTTACCATGCCCAACTTGTCCTGACTTGCATTTCTTCTTTTTTTTCTATTGTAACTTTTGTTGCTTTTCTCAGGATTAAGTTTCTGTGTTACAGGCAATTTATTTATTAAATCATTATTGGCAAATCGCAACATACCTCTCAATTTCTCCACGAAATGCCCTGCTTCCATATATTTATCATCATGGCAGATATTGTTCTTTAATGTATTGAAAAATGATTCGACAGCAGCATTTGAATACTAATGTTTTCTGTCATTATCTAACATTAGACCTGACCACAAAGGTATAATTGGAATATACCTGTCCATTACATAATTTAAGAAACCTGGGAAGAAAAAACG